ATGAAAGATTATTCTTTCTCTGCTTTCAAGACTTTTATGTAAAATTATTTTTTTATGTTTTGCAGAGCCACATATGCTTTGAAAAAATTATTTATGACCTCAATTACAAAGGTTACACTGTATATCCTCCATCCAGTAGACAGAACAGGTAGAGAGAAGGTAGACAGATCATTTAACCATGGTCAGACAGCATTGGCTAGCTTGTGTACTGTCTCTGGGAAACATGATTACATGTGATTTTATCAGAGTGCCCTCAGGTACAGCAAACACTTCCTGAACCTTGGTAATTTCACAGTAATAGGTTATACACTGAAACTCATACACAGATCCACATATTGACTGAGAGACCATTCTCTTCCATGAGAGAATGAACAGATTGCAGTATTTTGTTTCTATATTTCAGCACCATCACTACAAAAAATTATTTAATGACTGTCCCTCAGTGCTAGCTGACTTAAAATCAAAAACCGTTTACTCTCAGAACACATTGCAGTTTTTAGCTGGCATTTTGAAACAGAGAACAATAGGCTTTGAAAAGGTTTTTCAGAACTGACATTTTCATTTGTGTGTGTGTTTGTGTGGTTCTGTTAGTGTGGCTTTCTGGTAAACAGGATTGAGGCCACTAGTGGGGACATACTGACATCACCAGTGTGCGTATACTAAACTCAACAGACAGCCAGACAGCCAATGACGGCCCAAGAACACCTGAGGTTACTCTGTACACACACACACACACACACACTTACACACTTTACCTAGCTATCGAAATATCAAGCTAATTAAAATTTAACTGCAAATCACTCTTTTTCTTAAATCGGTATTTGTTGTCCAATACAAATATTGTTTTCAGAGAATGCACTTTGAATTAAGTACATTTTTCTTAGCGCACTAGCAAATTTTAAGCATATATTCTTAGACTTGGGGAACAATATGGACAAAAACAAGAAGAAGTAAGCCTCATTTATGAAATATGAATAATATTTACCTTTGGGGACATCCTCAAAGGTACATTTTGACAGAATTAACTAACATTTGGTTATAGGCAGCTTAATAAACCCACACACATTATTACAAACAGGATAGGCTACAATGAATTTCTCATCACTGAGAATTTTTAATAAAACCTTTTTGGTGCGTCAACAAGCTACAATATTAATGAAATCTGCTTTCTCTATAAATCGAATGTCCCTCAGATAAACCTGGTGCCATCAAAAATCTAATGTTTGAGTGTGGTGAGAGAATGCAGTCTGCAGCTAACTGGCCATTAATCATTTAGCTGGATAACCAGAGCTCTATGAATGAGTATTTGACTCTAATATTGTGTGTCTCGCTGATTTATGACTAACCTCTGCTCTCCTCCATCTCATTTTTTCTAATGAAGCCCAAACATCTGAACAACTTCCACAAAGAATGGATCTTCTGCTATTGTTTTATTGTTCTGACAGATTGTGCCACGTTCATGCAAATTCGGTTGTGTTACTAATTTAAAGGGCAACATTCAGAGAGAAGTATTTTTTCCAGAACATGATTTATAATATTTATAATCACATTCTGGCTGTTTTGTCATGGACTGTACGAAACTAATTAGTTTAACCTTCTGAGAAGTAATTTTAGGGTCACACAAGGTTATCTCTCCTCCCCTCGGGAGTATTATTAATATTCCATGACTATTAACTTCAGTGCATAACTCGAATTGGACATGAATTATACATCAAATCGTGTAGCTTGTTGAGGAGATGTGTCTTATTACGTTTCTAAGCAATCAGGCTTACAATTTTCACCTGGCGGGTGAGAAAAATGAATTGCACAGACTTTGAAGTAAGAACCTGAATCATAGACCAGAAAATCATAAAGACAACCACATGTCTTTTCAACCGCTCAGAGCACCCTAGCAATCTCATAGCAACACACTAACAATCAGTCAGAACACCTTAGCAACCACATAGAATACCCCTGCTTTGTTTTGCACGAGTGAGCATAACATTTTCTTCAGAAAGTACAAAAATATAAGTTATTTTTGTTGTCATTTTTTGACTTTGTGTTTTTCAGAACACCCCTTTGGGTTGTTTGGGAGTATATCTTTTTTTAATGGGCTGTGAGGTGGACTTTTGCCAGTGTTTAGCCACTGCTTGGCCCAGATTCCAGATACCCTGTGGCTTAGTTTCTCTGGCTGAGCTTCTAATGGCAGATTCTCAAGAGGATGCACAGTCTCTGGATTCAAACATACATGACCATCATCACTCTTAAAGTGTTGTCACATTTAAAGTTGCTCTGCAAAATTTTGCATGCCAGTCATTTCAATAGGAATTTCAATTTCGTTCACACTTTATTTTAAGGTCCAGTTCTTGCTATTAACAAACCATTGACTACAACTTTTGCCCCAATAAACTCCTAGTTGTTAAGTTTAAGTATTGGGGAGGATTAAGGCCCGTTCACACCAAGGACGATAACTATAAAATAACGATAAAGATATAGTTCTAAAAATCGTTCTCAATATTAAAGAATAGCAGAGTCACACCACAACTATAACGATAAAGACAAAGAGAAACGACATCGTTGGAATCACTTTCAAAATGATTTTTCTCCAACTGATAAACGATAAAAAATTGACAGCCAATCAGGATCCATTCTGCTGTAACGAGCTCAAGAATTTAAAGTGGCAGACGAGCATGCGCTTAGAATAAACAGACGATATCGTTTGCTGGTGTGGACGCAAATATCGTTATCTTTATAGTTATCGTTCTTGGTGTGAACGGGGCTTTAGGGATGTTGAATATGGTCATGCAGAATAAGTGCTTTATAAGTACTAATAAACTGCCAATATGTTGATAATAGCCATGCAACTAGTTAATAGTGAGAACTGGTCCCTATACTAAAGTGGTACCAAAATCTCAATAGGTATCTGTGCAATAGAGAGTTTCCTGTGAGGACAAAATAGTTCATCACGCAGATTTCACTTATATTCAAGTTGGCCATGTGAATTCGCAACACTGACCAACAGAAAGCAGCTTGGTTTAAAAATGGCTGTATCAAAAATTGCGTACTCTGAGTAGGTACTTCTTTTGAGTAAGGAATTTGTGACTGCTAAAAATGTGCGTTCTGTATAGTATTAATAAGTAACTTGAGTAATTTGTTTCTTTTCACAGTTTTTCACCTACTTTATAGTTGGGAAGTGTGCGATTTCGGATACAGTCCATGACTTCTCTTTGAGCAGTGCTTCATACATCTCTACACTACTGAAAATTGACCTTTTGCACACAAAATTTCACTAATCTGACCACATCTTTAGACTCATCATTACAATCTTCGCTCACCATTGTCTTCCTATCTCAGCGCTGCAGTCTGTAGATACAGTAGCATTATTTAGCTAAAAGCTTGTGCATACGTGTGCGCTGACACATTACAGATGATGCTGGCTTAATTTACAGTCTCTACTTCCCTGGAAATGTCACACTGCTAGTTCTGTAACTCACACATTGTGATTGTACCTTCTGGCGCAGTGATGCTCTTTGTGCAGCTGTTGTGTTTTGAATGCACCCATTTTAACATGCATGTTTGATAATATAAGTGCTACAGTTTCTTATTTTTGTCTCTGGACGTGTGGTAATCCGTCATCCCAAACAGCCTGTAATCTTCCTTGAATTTCTGAGCTTGAATTGCAGGTCTGGGACAGGCAGAGGTAGAAAGCTTTTCATCTGTCTAGAAGGTTCCATGTGCAGCAGATCCCTGCTGCTTTTCTAGGGAAATTGATTATATCACCACAGAATCTCTGAACGTACGTCTTCTGTAGTTTCTTATCTTTGTCTCTGGACATGTGGTAATCCATCATCCCAAACAGCCTGTAATCTTCCTCGAATTTCTCAGCTTGAAATGCAGGTCTGAGACAGGCAGGGATTGAAAGCTTTTTATCTGTCTAGAAGGTTCCATGTGCAGTAGATTCTTGCCGCTTTTCGAGGGAAAGGTGCAATTTTTGTGAATTACAGTAGAATCTGAAAAGAGTCTCGGAGTTCAGAGGTTTAGATTTAGCACACATAAGTGAGTGAATGAATGGATGGATGGATGGATAGATAGATAGAAAAAAAGAAAGGAGATCTCTTTGAATGCAATGAGATTAAGTTGATATCAAATTTTGATTTTTGGGTCTGCTTCCTACTGAGAAAAAAGTTTAAAAAAAAATTTGCTAAGATGGTCATGTCTGTAATATAAAGTATGATATAAATGATGACTAAAAAATAAATTACTATTATTAATTAAAATCATTTTTTATATATTTTATCAAAAGTTTGGGGTCAGTGAGATATTTTTTCCTTTTTTGTGACCGCAAAGACATATGACATATATAATACCAAATAAAATCTATTTACGAAGGAATCCTTAAAAAGAGTATCACCATTTTTTACAAAAGCATCACTGTTTCTTGAGAACCTGAAAATTGTAATAAATTGTATTAAATAAATTGTAGTAATATTTCATTTAAATTGTTATAATATTTCACAATATTACTGGTTTTACTATATTTCTGATCAAATTGATTGATTGACTGATTGATAAACTTTAGTTTATATTTTTGAATGATTCATTTTTGACACTTTTTATTTTAAAATAGTTTAATACATTTTTTTTAATTATTTAATTTTGTAGCTCTGTTGTGTAACTCTATATAGTAGTAAAATACTCTGATTTATGGCTATTTTTATTTCTCCTTAGGAATTTTAGGGTAATCGTTAAAAATAAACATTCTTCATCTGAGCTATATAAGAGCAACCTCTGAGATTATTTTCCTCTGTGAGACTCTCCCTTTGCACCTGCGTAACTGTATTTTTATCCATCTGTATTTACCTTTCCGTCTGACCCCCAGTCAACGGTTAATAATAAATTGATTTCTCGATTCACATGTGTTTACTTCACAAGCCTGCCGCTTATGTACATGAATTCCCTTCATATGTTTGTGGAATCCACAAGATTTGAAGGACAGTTAAAGCTGAAATATTTGCTGGATTTGTGGCATGTTTACCTTTAAGCAAGCTAATGCGCTGCAGATTGAAAACACAAAGCCGACATCAAGAGAGAAAATCCAGCATGGCTTTTGATCTGGACTACTTTAGGGGGAGGAAGGACTGTAAGACACTCAACCCCGCCCACTCTAGAGTCCCAGCCAATGAGAGCAGGTCTGGAGGAGAGCGTGTGTGTGAGAGAGAAGGGAGAGGAGGTGGTAGAGTGGCAGTCTTTGCTTGTGTGTAGGGAACGGTCAATCTCTCACGCTGCTGCAGTCTGCGAGCATCCTCAAGAGTGAGAATCTCTTTTTATTCTCTCTTTCATTAATGCGTTCTTTCATTTATCCTTTATTCCATCCTCTCTTCCAGCCCCTCATTTTTTCTGTTTCTCTGCTGTTGCTGATTTGTTTCTGTTTAATTGAGAGTGTATTTGCAAACACGTGTGTGTGTGTGTGTGTGTGTGTGTGTGTTTTTTTTATTGTGTTTAATTTGGTTTTGTTGAGGTTATATTTACGTTATACTTTAGAAAAGTGCAATTTATGTCATAACTGCATGATATTGTTATTTCGGCATTGTGTTTTCTTCAGTGACAACTTCCTTGGTGAATAGCTCTCGATGTATACATTTTTTTGGATCTTTATTTAGAAAAGAATATCAAACATTTTTAACGATGTTCCCAAAAAACATCTCCTGAAGGTTTGTGTGCTCAGCAGATTTAGTTTTTTTTTATGTGAGTGGATTTGTTCGGGGTGAGTGCTTCCCTCACTGCAGGATTGTTTTGGGTTCTATCCTCCGTCTGAGATTTGCACCACTCTGAGACTCTTTAATCTGTTTCTCTCTCTCTGTCTTTCTGTCTTTTTCTCTGGAGAAGAAGAATCTCTTTGTTTCATTGTTTTTGTTTAGGTAGAGCTTAGTTTCCAGAGTGATTTAAATAAGGCTAACATATTTCATTGGGAGGGAATGTGCATATATTGTGAGTCAGGTCTTTTTTTTAAGCTTTTACTGCACATCACTGATTGTATCATCATTATAATTGTCCTTGATCTTCCTCTCTCAGCCTGCAGCCTAATGACAAAATTTACTTGTCATTTGACCTTTGAGTTCCTGCAAGGACAGACGGGGCTCTAAAATCAGCCTTATTCCTCAGTAGACACTTTGATGACCCTCATGCTCATTTAAAACATCAGAAGCTGGTCAAATCATCTACTTGATCAGTGGTTTATTTATTTGCATAAGATATTTTTAGACCAATGAAATGAGTTCAAATAAAATGAAAGACACTGAATAAAAAAAGCAACCAGAAAAGGAGCCAAATCAGCTGTAACATGTTGCTCAGGTGTGGTAGGTCCACTATTGGGGGCTGCTGTGCTGGTTTGGTTGGTCTAATGGTGTTCAGACTGGGCTTTGGGGCATTGCTGAGTGCTCAGGTTCAGCACACGATGTGTGTGTGTGTGTGTGTGTGTGTGTGCGCATTGGTCTCAGCAGCAGCCACAGCAGATGTAGTTCTCTGCTGAAACAGGGCTGAGGTGTGCAGCACCCTCAACAAACTGCTATGCACTAGATTACTTGCTGAAAGAGCATGAATCCTGTTTTAGGAGGGCAAATCTGTTTTTTTTATCATCCTGAAAAATACACTACAATGTTACACTACAATACACAAAAGAAAGCCAATAAAACAAATATTATTGGACTATGTTTTACAGGAAAATACTATTTTGGTCTTTGTACTTTAAAATTTGATGTTTAATTCTCTGTTATTTGCAGTTTCTTTGTAATTAATTGTGAAATTTCTGGGTGAAAATAGTTTCTACACCAATTCTTTTTTAGTGGGGTTAGTAAGGTTTTTTTAATGCTTTAAAAAGTCTGTTATGCTCATGGGAATCAAGAATATAGTAAAAATACAAATATTGTGAGACATTATTACAATTTTAAATAACTTTTATATTTTAATATATTTTAAAATGTAATTTATTCCTGTGATGGAAATGAATTTTCAGCAGCCATTATTCCATTCAGAAATCATTCTATTAAGCTGATTTGGTGTTCAAGAACCATATTATTATTATTATTATTAATTTAGAAAACATTTGGACAGTTCTGTTTTTGCAGAGGTTTTATGAATCAGATGAATAACTGTTTTATATATTTAAATAGGGCTGTCAAATCGATTAATCGTGATTAATCGCATCCAAAATAAAAGTTTTTGTTTACATAATATATGTGTGTGTACTGTGTATATTTATATGTATTTATAAATTCCTACATATCTGATCCACACCTACTGTACACACACGCATGGACTCGTCAGAGTTAAGAAATATACATATTTTGGACACGATTAATCGAATTGACAGCCCAACTTTAAAATGGAATTTATTTCTTTGATAAAAAAAGCTGTATTTTCAGAAACTGTTTATCCAGCAGATCCTTTAGAAAGCAGTAAACATTTATTTAAAATAGATTTTTTTTTAAAAACAACAACAACTTACTAACCCCAAAACTTTGAATGGAAGTAAATACACAGGCTTGATTAAAAATTCCCAAAGCAAGTAAAATGTATCTAACATTACACAGCATAAAACATATAACAAACTAAAAATAAACATTTTATCTGTATATTGTGTTTGTGATCAATATTATCCCAAGGATGAAATCAATAAAAAGATACACAAGCTACACTGCTGTGAGCAGATACAGTACCTGCATGACAAAATGAATGGGTTGCACATAATATGTCTGGCACATATGCTGCTCTAATGGATGAAACATTCAATCTCACAGATGTAATTTCACAAGCATGCATTATTCCACAACAAACACAATGTTAAGACAACAATCTGCACTTCCAGCTGTATTTTAGCAGAAAACGCTCTAAAAATCATGTGATGGTGCAAATGGCTCCATTTGGGTCACTTTGGTACAACATTATTCATAAACAAATAAACAGATCCATTACAAACCATCCTGAGTGCAAAAAGAAATGATCCACCACACTATACACAAATAAAGTGCTGTCTTCAATGTCCTCGTTAACCCTTGTTTCATTAAAGGATAAAATAAACACAAACACTGGAACACATGCCTAGGGAAAAAAGCACATGTTCCCTCTCATCGGCCAATGAAGACGTTAAGGTTGTTATGGAAACTGCAAGCTACTGTACAGTTGAGATAAATAATATTTTTTTTATGTTCGTATGCTGGCAGGTTCTCAGCTTATTACTGTGAATTCATTTCTCCATGGCATCATTATGGCAGTGATGCTTCTCAAGACACTTCCAAAAAAACAGCATGTGTTAGTGCAAGCTGCTGACAAAAACTCAAATTTACTGTCATATGACACATATTGAATAATGCTCTCTCTCCCCTCTGCAGGCATTATGTGCCCCTACGATAATAAAAATAATATATTCTTGTCTCTAAAGCATTCAGCCGATACAAACGATGAAACAGATTAATAAACTACCAGATGAAAGAACCAATCTGCAAACATTCTGTATTGCAAAAGCTGTATCTTATAGCATTATTTATATACAATTATAGCACTTATTAATATTTTTGAATGAGCTTTTATAAAAACATTTTATTTTTTGCATTTTTATAATTTTGATTAGTTTTTTATTTAGCTATATATACTTACAATGTAGCAATTTTAGTATTATTAAATTACTATTTTAATTTAGTTTTCTTTTAATTACATTTTTATTTCAGCTAGTGAGATTTTTTTTAACAGGTTCAGTTAACAATAACAACACCAGTTTAAGTCTGGCTTAGGGCAGGTTTTTGCACTGAAATACTGCATGCAAAATTGCCAAAACTCTTTAGTGAATTCGCCCCTGAGAGATTTTCTCTTGTGATTTATTGTGTGGGTCTTGCAGTAGAGCTGCAGGGCTGAATCTCTGTGTAACTGCAAGAGAAACAGTACAGGTACAGTATGTGTGTAATATACAGTGCTCAGCAGAAAAGGGTACATCCATGGGTGGACAGCATTTTTCCACTACAGCAAATGTCTGTAACATAATTTGTTAAGAGAGAGTGCTGCCTCATTTCTTGAAAAAAAATGAGTGTAGTATTTGCTAAGCAGTAAGATAAAAGCTGAAGCCATCAGCATGGCAAAAGGGGAAAAAAGCAATACATCTACAACACGCAAACTAGAAGAAAGTGTCAGAGTGCTGGCAAAGGTGCAGATAATGCGGTGCTTTTAATTGTTACAGAGAAATGTGGTGTTTAAAATCCCCCTGAGAGTAAAGTGGAGTGGAATCTGTATGTGTAGATCAGCGGCCTCATAGCGATAAGAGCCTGGGCTTGTGAAATAACAGGACCCGAGCTGACATTTGCAAGAATGAATTACATACATTACAGCAACTGAAGATTTTATGTGATTATACATTTTTACAATTTGTGAAGAAAATGTGAGAGGTGCTTGTTAGTGCCAAGTTGCTGTTGGGGGTGGGGGGGTTTGCTGGCCAAAGTCAAAAGAGCCCACCTTCAAGGTGGATATCTGGAAAATTAAACTAAAAACACAAACATAATATCAATATTCACGGGATTATAAGAAAATAAGTGAATCTCTAGCTCGCTCACTGTCACAGTCCCTAGACACATCAAAGCCAACTTCTCGCTAAATATATCAAACCAGACATCTGTGCAATTTATATTCTGAAATTTACATTTGCGCTGGACTTTCCTGCATAATAAGTAGGATAAAGAGATGTATATTTCCTTCTCCGATCACACAGAGGAAGGGTGTTGTTATGGTTACATGTAAATGCTACTGCAGAAAAAGAGAGACTCCCGAGAACGCTTCGAGGAGATAAATAAGCAGTGCACACACACAAAACACAGATGCATGCTTCCGCGTTAAGAAATTGTGATGCCGATTCATTGTGACAGAAACACAATGAATCAGCATCACAATTTCTTAACGCGGAAGCATGCATCTGTGTTTTGTGTGTGTGCACTGCTTATTTATCTCCTCGAAGCGTTCTCGGGAGTCTCTCTTTTTCTGCAGTAGCATTTACATGTAACCATAACAACACCCTTCCTCTGTGTGATCGGAGAAGGAAATATACATCTCTTTATCCTACTTATTATGCAGGAAAGTCCAGCGCAAATGTAAATTTCAGAATATAAATTGCACAGATGTCTGGTTTGATATATTTAGCGAGAAGTTGGCTTTGATGTGTCTAGGGACTGTGACAGTGAGCGAGCTAGAGATTCACTTATTTTCTTATAATCCCGTGAATATTGATATTATGTTTGTGTTTTTAGTTTAATTTTCCAGATATCCACCTTGAA